ACAAAATTGTTCTAGAACATGTTTACCCAACGTGCAGCGCCATCTCTGGAACTTTTCCAGAAGTTATAATTCGTATAAACAATCTTCACGAATAGGTTTTGTTACGTGTAAATTTTCAAAAATTAAAATTGAAATCATTGGCTTAATTTTATCTTCTTCTTTCTTTAATCATTAATATAGGTATATATTTAATCTATACTTATAATAAATGTGTAGAGAAGTCAATTCTGTACATGAAATATATTTGCAAAATAACTATCAGCGGGTGATTAGTGATCGATACTGATGACAAATATGCAATCAGTAAAATTTTTGTCCGTCTGTCTGTATGTTCGTTATAGACACAAAAACTACTCGACGTATTTTAACGAAACTTGGTACAATTATTCTTCATACTCCCGGGCAGGTTATAGTATACTTTTCATCACGATACGATAATATATATATATATATATATTGTACATAGTTATAATATCTGTATATTGTAGATTACATTAGAGTACCAAGGAGTATATAAAATCTCTGTTATACAACATAATTTAACATATTTTATGTCAATTTTACAAATTTAATATCTAGTATAGGGGTCGTCCTACACTGCGTTTGCCCGTACCAGGTCGCCCAAGAACCTTTCTTTCCCATCGGAATGGAACGGTTACCATTCCATTATTCGTCTGCGCTAACCGGTATACACTGACGTAGTACCAATGAAGTAGGTGATGATTAAACATGGTTACCAGGAGCTATCGCGTGGAGGTTGACCTGACAGAGTAGGGGGAAGGGATTGTTAGTTATTTGGAGATTGATCCCCGTTGCTATCAATGTACTCTATCAGGTCGACCTCCACGCGGTTCCCCTTGAAAACTATCGTGACTAATTTATCGTTGAATTCGTCACGATGGGCTAACTGACTGGCCTTTTCATTCTCACCTTTCATCTGTCACTGGTACTCCGCCAGTGTATACCAATAGCGCAGGCCAAGGGAGATCAGAGGGAGACTTTGTACAAAAGTCGATTGGTTGGGTACCTCTGTCCCATTCGTGTTTCTACCGTGAAGCAGTTGCGTTTGCATGGCTGTGTTTCGGTTTGAAGGGTGGGATATGGCGTGAATTTACAGGGTACAGAGGAATAACACCTGAGTCCTCAGGAATGGCAACGCATGGGGGGTATCATGGGCGAAACAGTATACTCTGTTATGTCCATGGTACCGCTCATGTCTATAGACGACTGTTACCACTTTCCATCAGGTGGCCCGTCAGCTTGTTTGCCATTCTAAGTTGTATAAAAAAAAGGCATGCCATTTTTACCCATTAAAAAAAGGCCTGACAGAGTATATTGCTAACAATAGGGCAGTTAGAGCCTATTACTAACAATCCCTTTCCTCCCAATACTGATAGTATCTCTAAAAATAAAAAAAATAAAAATGTATACAATTCTATTGAGTATGCGTCTACACTGTATTCTAAACTTAGCAGCGCCCCTAGCGGCAAATATCGGAAACTGTTTGTTTACAAACTTTGCAATTTTAGCGTAAATCCTTGTGCAGTTTAAACATCTTGAATTACGTTTCAGATGACACTGTGATTTTTTTCCAATAATAAAAATACAAATTTTTTACATGAAAAAGATTCCAATTATATTCCTATACATACCTACAAGCTTGCATAATTATTGCTTTTTTTTTATTATAATTTATCTGACAATGACCTCTGTTCATCTTGGAGTAGGTAGCAAATACATAGCAAATTAATCTGTCTATAGCAAACTATCATGACCCTTATAATGCAGAAGCTGATATTTAGGAGTATCCACGTGTTTAATTGCTTTTTGTTAGTACGTTTATTATCATATATATATATATATATATATATATATATATATATATATATATATATATATATATATATATATATATATATATATATATATATATATATATATATATATATATATATATATATATATATATATATATATATATATATATTTTAAATATGAAACCAGTTATATTTTATGATTTTGACTGGTTTATGTTCAACGCCATCTGTTGTTGAGTAGCGTTGACTATGCCCGCTGCTTAAATATAGCAAACCTTTATTTATAATGTTGCTTACAAACTGAACAATGTTAACAATGTCTTACATAGATGGCGCTGTGCATGAAATAAGCAAGCTATGAATTTGCTTTGTTTCCGATAGATGGAGATACAGGTTTATAATATTTACACTGTTTTTACAAATCTACATGTGCAAGTAGATAGGTAAAAACAGTGTAAGCAAACGTAACAAAAGCACAAAATTCAAAAGATATATTTAATTAAATTACTGGTAAAGTAGTAGATTTTCTAAAGAATAAGTAAAGGTTGTTAATAAAAAAAAAATAAGCAACCAAATCACAATGATTCACAATCATCACCGATTATCGCATAAAGTCGTCATCATCATCATCATATCAGCCTTTAGCTGTCCATTACTGAACATAAGCCTCCCCTTGGGGGTTTTGCCAGTAGTTACCACGCTTGGGAGGTAGATTGGCAACCTATTCTGTGTTGGGATCACACGGGTACACAAAGCAGCATTAAGTACAAAGAAATAGATTCGAAATGTCCTTCTAGTCTAGAGATTATATTTTTGAAGTTGGTCAAAAATAAATTTTATATACATTTATAATATATAATATATGAACAAGAACCGGTTTCATTTTGTACGAAATGAACTGGTATCCCGCTGCGTTGTCGAACACCAAAATCGGACCCTTGCCCCTCACTATTGTAGGTTGATACCACTAATGTACATTATATCAAAATGTAATATGGTACATTTTATTACCATTTAAAATTAGGCCTTATTGTCGGTGAATATGGTTTAAATATACTTAATATAAAAACCAACATCCCCCATTTCTGAATTAACGAGTGAATATATTTAAATTTAGAAAAAGCATTCTAGGCGCCCGTTACTCTAAAATCGTTCTTATTGTCTATTTTTTAAAATCGATTTCTCGTTGAACGTAAAGGAATAATATTCTTATTTTACATTTTTCAATGTGTAGGTATTGTTGTGTGCTTATTAATTTTGTAATAAGCCAATTAAACATGGCGGATTAAGTATGTTTACTAGAATTGAATCATGTGACATTTCGTGTTATAATGTCGACATTATATTATTATAAGTATGTAATACGCTGGTGGGGCACCAGTGAGGGATGATAGGTGAGGATGAAGGCAGATCAGTTGGTCCATCGTGACGAATGCACCACTAATTAACCACAATGCTTTCTAGAGGTGACTGCGTGGAGATCGACCTCGCAAGATATTTTGCTAACAATGGGGTAGCCAATTTTCTATTAACCATTATCTAAATTATTCTTAAAATTAAAATATTACATTACAATAAAACTTTGTATATAAAATTTTAATACTAATAATAATCATTATCATCATCATCATCATCATCATCATCATCATCATCATCACATTAGCCTTTAACTGTCCACTGTTGAACATAAGCCTTCCCCAAAAGGGGGATTTTGTCAGTTGTTGCCACGTTTGGCAGGCGGGTTGATAACCGTAGTTAGGCTTTAGAGTTTTTTTTTAAAGAACTTAGAATGGCAAACAAGCTGACGGCCCACCTGACGGAAAGTGGTAACCGTCGCCTATATACATGCCTATACCATGGACATAACAGAGTATACTGTCTCGCCCATGATACCCCCCATGAGTTGCCATTCCTGAGGACTCAGGTGTTATTCCTCTGTACCCTGTAAATTCACGCCATATCCCATCCTTCAAACCGAAACACAGCCATGCAAACACAACTGCTTCACGGTAGAAACACGAATGTGACAGAGGTGCCCAAGCAATCGACTTTTGTACAAAGTCTCCCTCTGGTAATGTTTAAAAAGCGAGTTTTAAGAGAGAGAGAGAGCTGATGTTTTTTTTTTCTTCAAATACAATATTAATAGACATAGAATTAGGAAATAGTGTCATAGATTCGACTTCAGTATTCTATAAATATTACGAAAACTAAAACCCTGACAATTTTAAAGATACATTTTATTATCTGTCTCACTCTAACACATCACAGAACATCGGATGTAAATCGATGTAAAACACAGATGCGGTATGCGATAAAACGGCTATTACCGCAGACGCGCCATGTCCGAGATCGAGTCATAGATAATAAGTATTTTTTTTTTTTGTTACACGGGCATGAGAATACTTTGGCTTGTCGATGGTCAGATTCAACAAGGTTTAGAAAAAAATATGTCTTTGATTGTAATGCGAATTGACTATGACGATACTAAGGTGATCGTTTTGATGTTAATTTTTTTTTAGATAGATAATTTATTTACATTACTTACAGCACACAAATTACAATAAAAAAAACATACACATAATACACAGTAAAAGAGATAAAAGAATGAAAATAAAACAGCACAAATAAAGAAAAAAAAAAAACAAAATATACCAACGATTTCCTTTCTTTCATGCGTGTGCCATAGTAACACAAAATGGTCACAACTCAGTTTTATTGCTTTTAAACATTTTTTTTTTCTGAAAAGTTTCTATTAGAAAACTTTTTTTTTTAAATTTTTTTTTAAGAATCTAAAGTAAAGTTTTTGAATGTTTGACAGATTAATGTTTTTAATTTATTTCTTTTTTTTTATTCTGTATTTAATAATACATTTATATAATGTTTCTAACATTTTATTTTTATTTGGTTATGTATCTAATCTTTTACCTTAGTTTACATACTTTTGCAAGCACACTTAGTAATTAAAAAAAAAACTGTAACACAATTATTTTTTCTAATCATTCTTTATTTAAATTGCATTAATTTAAATTTAATTTTATAGCGATACTATGTGTAAAAGATAAATAAAAAAAAACATTGCTATTTCTTCATAAATATTGCTAGGCAAAGGAATAATCACATAATGCCAGATAAGATTAGAAGAAAAATTCTACCATTACTTATATTACTTTTCATTTGTTACAGGATATGGACCTCATCGAGGTCCTATGGAAGCAGGATGTCGACATGGGCTTCTCCCTCGAGGACCCTATGCAACCGGTGAGTTTAACCCTTTGAGTGCCGACGAGCGCCATCGCGCTCGTGCCCATTGCAACTGAAAGTGCCACGAGCGTCATAGCGCTCGTGAAATTAGGCACTGTTAAGCTTGTTGTAAAAAAAAATATTAAAATTGGATAACTTTTTGAGGAGATACAGTTTTTTTTAGAGACAAGGGTAAATGACATCAACACGACAAAGATTTCTTTGGCATTTTTAAGTAGTTATGAGTAAAAATCAATGGCGCTGAAACGGTTAACAAATAAGTATAGATTTGTAAGGTGTCATAATTATTACCACCAGAGGGCGCTACCCTCGCACGAGTAGTAGAAATGCAATCAGCCGCATTGTATTTACTATGGCGTCGATACTGCCGTTGACGGATAGCACTATTTAACTGATTTCAAAAAGGGGGTTTTCAATTCGATTGTATTTTTTTTTTGTTCGTCACCTCATAACTCCGTCAGCTGTGTACCGATTTGGAAAATTCTTTTTTTATCTGAAAGGTCATACTTACACATTGGTCCCATAGAAATTTTATTAAAATCGGTCTAGTAGTTTAGTTTGAAATCCAAATGACTGGTTTGAACAATTCAAGTGGGGTTTTTTTTTTTATTTTTGAATATTAATTTTAAATTATTATAAGTATATACATAGATGGATAGATAATTTATTTGCATTACTTACTTACAGCACACAAATTACAACATACATATATAAAAAAAAGCGAGATAACATAAATGATAAAAAAAAATATACATAAAGCTAAATATAATTTTCGTTTGTGAGTGTACCATAGCAATACAAAATGCAATACAAAATATCTACGCTCTTATTGCTTCTTAGATAAAAATGGTGTTTTTTTTAATGGATGATAATGGAACGGTAACCCCACCCGCGCTATCGGTATACACCGGCGGGGCACCAGTGAAGGATGATAGGTGAGGATGAAGTAGGTCAGTTAGCCCATCGTGACGTATTCGTCAAGAATTGTTTACGATGGTTTCCAGGGGGAACTACGTGGTGGTCGACGTAACTGGGTATATTGCTAGCAATGGGGCTGGTGAACTCTATTGCTAACAATACCCTTGCCCCCGGTATAAATGGTGTTTGTATAGATACATAATAGAGACATGTAAAAATTTACCAATATTTTTTTTGACAATATTTTTTATTTTTATTTTATTATGATTTAGCATTGAAAAATACATACAACTTCAAATTTCCACCCTTTTATATATATTATTTTTTCCACCCTTTATATATATATATATATATATATATATATATATATATATATATATATATATATATATATATATATATATATATATATATATATATATATATATATATTGATTGATAAACAAGTATTACTCCATTCCACCAGGAGGGTCCTCAAGCGACGAAGGTGCTCAGCGTCGAGCTGGACCAGGAGCTCAAGTTGGCAGAAGAGAAGATACAGCAGAAGAAAGAGGAGACGGAGAAGATTGAGAAGGTCAAGGCTTCGTTACTCGACACCGACGTTAAGGAGGTATGCTGTTAGGTTTTTTTAAACTTTGTACAAAAGTAGTCGGCTTGGGTACTTGTGTCCCACTCGTGTTTCTCACGGGAAGCATCTGTGGTCGCTTGGCTATGTTTCTATTTCCAGACAAGTTACTTAAATGCATCAATGGGATACAACGCCATCTAGGCCTAAACTAAGCAGAGCTTGTACTATTATGCAACTTAAAATGGCAAACAAGCTGACGGCCCACTTGATGGAAAGCGGTAATCGTCGCCTATAAACATGAGCAGTACCATGGACTTAACAGAGTATACTGTTTCGCCCATGATACCCCCCATGCGTTGCCATTCCTGAGGACTCAAGTGTTATTCCTCTGTACCCAGTAAATTCACGCCATATCTCATCCTTCAAACCGAAACACAGCCATGCAAACACAACTGCTTCACGGTAGAAACACGAATGGGACAGAGGTACCCAAGCAATCGACTTTTATACAAAGTCTCCCTCTGGCGCATGATCACCCGTAACACTAGAGGCATTGCAAGTGTGCTGACGACCTTCTAAAAAGGAATGCTCTTTTTATAATAAAATTACAGGATACACAGAAATAACACCTGAGTCCTCAGGAATGGCAACGCATGGGGGGTATCGTGGGCGGAACAGTATACTCTGTTATGTGCACGGTACTGCTCATGTGTATAGGCGACGGTTACCGCTTTCCATCAGGTGGGCCGTCAGCTTGTTTGCCATTCTAAGTTATATAAAAAAAAATGTGCGGCGGTAGTCGTTTACCATCAGGCGAGCCGTATGCTGGTTTGTTCACTGATTTGTAAAAAAAAATAACTCGTGCACGAAATTTGACAGGACACCCCGACCGTATACGTTACTTCATGGCAAAGAAGCTCATGAATATCCCATAAAAACTATAGTCAATTTTGCTGCAGGATGATCCATGGGCTGGCCTCTCGTACACTGTGGACACGGAGACAGGTTAGTGGTTTTTTTTTATTTCATCACCATTACTATATAAGCCGTTAACTGCCCACTGGTGGACATAGGCCTCTATTTTGGAGGTTTTGCCAGTAGTTGCCACGCTTGGCAGGTGTGTTGGCAACTACGGTTAGGCTTTTTTTTTGTTTGATAGATGAAAATGGAATGGTAACCCCGTCCGCACTATCGGTATACACTGGCGGGGCACCAGTGGAAGATGATAGGTGAGAATGAATGCAGGTCAGTTGGCCCACCATGACGAATTCGACAAGAATTAACCATGGTGGTTTCCAGGAGGAACCGCGTTGAGGTCGACCTAAGAGACCCTCTCAGGTCAATTGCTAGCAACGGGGCTATTAGATCTCATTACTAACAATCCCTTTATCCCCATGGTTAAGCTATAGGGCTATATATATATATATATATATATATATATATATATATATATATATATATATATATATACAATATCTATATATCGGCCTATAGTAGCAGTAAATATATAGTAAAGAAGAATGGAAGACAAAAGTATATTACTGACTCCAAATATTAATTGGAATAACTCTGTACCATGTAAATTCAGCCATACATTAATGTTTCGTGCAAATCACATACAAACTGAGTACTAGTAATGTGAAGGGTGCCGAGGGGGACGCGGGAACTGTATAGTAACTAAGGGTGTCTACGATCCCCCCATATTATAGCGTTATATACATGGTGATATCGAAACCAGAGGGAGACTTTGTACAAAAGTCGTTTGCTTGTGTACCTCTGTCCCATTCGTGTTTCAACCGTGAAGCAGTTGTGTTTGCATGGCTGTGTTTCGGTTTGAATGGTGGGACACGGTATTGCAAATACAATTTTTTTTTTATATAACTAAGAATGGCAAACAAGCTGACGGCCCACCTGATGGAAAGTGGTAACCGTCGCCTATAGACATGAGCAGTAGCATGTACATAACACAGTATACTGTTTCGCCCATGATACCCCCCATGCGTTGCCATTCCTGAGGACTCAGGTGTTATTCCTCTGTACCCAGTAAATTCACGCCATAAATAAATATGGATTGGAAGTAATTTAGACAAAAAAAAAAATACGAGAGCGACTATATATCTCATCATCTTCATCATCTCAGTCTTTAACTGTCCACTGCTGAACATAAGCCTCCCCTTGGGGGGTTTTACCAGTAGTTTCCACGCTTGGCAGGCATGTTGGCAAATGCTGTTAGGCGTTGGAGATGTTTTAAGAGGGGCGCTGCTGCCCATCCCTCGCCCTCCCTTAGTCACCTCTTACGACACCTTCAGGAATGGAAGGGTTGGCCTATTCTATACCGGGACACACCTCAGCTCAAATTATTGTATACTAGCAGCCCGTCCCGGCTTCGCACGGGTGGACATTTTTACAACATTTTAAAAAGTGGTTATTGTGACATAACGATAATAGTTGGACATATAGTGTCGCGAAGTTTTTTGTAGTTATCGATATTTTCTTCAATATTGTAGAACATACTTTTGTTCTATCACCAATAGTTTCCGCAGCGCACGCGACCAAAGATATTTTTTAACATTTTTTTTTACACCTTGAGTTACGTTACTATAGTTTTAGTAAGGCTCCCTAATCTTTTCTAGCAATAAATATAGCCTATGTTACTCAGGGTGAATATAGCTTTCTAATGGTGAAAGAATTTTTGAAATCGGCAAAGTAGTTTTCGAGTTTATTCATTACAAACATACACACAAAAATGCAAATATTTCCTCTTTATAATATTAGTGTAGATTTCATAGGAATATTTTGTTAAAATTATATATAGCCTATATTATTTGCGGATAATGTAGCTTTTTATAGGTGAAAGCATTTTTGAAATCCAATAAGTAGTTTTTGAGTTTTTCTATTACAAACAATGAAACATACACTAATGGAAAAAATTGAGGGATCAAAAAAATTTCAAATTTTTAGCTGATTTTCAATAGGCTGTAACTTGGAGAAAAATTATAGTAGAGACATTTCAAAAAAAGAAAATTATACCTCTAAGTGTCTAGTCTTTTGGGTCTAAACTGGAAAAATTTTTCATTTCAATTTTTTTTCAGGTAATTTTAAAAAAACCACTGACAAAAAAAGTTTTAAAAGTTTTTTTGTTTTTTTACGTCTCCGGTCTTTAAATTTTTTTTGACGTATTTACCATATGAGTTAGGTAACTTGTTCATTCAGCTTCAAATTCCTTTCTTTAAACTTCATTACCCCTCTTTTGAAGAACCCCATGCTGTAGTCTCTTGGGAAAACCTCGGCAGGGAGCTCATTCCATAACCATAGCATTAGTTTGTTTGAACGCGCTATTCTCAAGAACTATACCAGTCGGATTTGAAAATTTTTGTATTTGATACCTCATTTCTCGAAGATGGTTATGGGCTATTAAATTTCGCGATAGGACTACAGACAAAGCCGTAGGTCTCAGTTAGTTATATGAATTTTTATTACATATATATTTTTTTGTTACACAAATATTAAACTCCTAGTTCCGCTAACAATCCCCAATGGATCTGCCCACCCCCCGTGCTAGCGTGATATACCATTAGTCATATGATTCAGCTATTTCTCGGCCCCCTCGATCGATACAGTGTAATTAAACATTTTCGTGAACGAATCCTGGTCGCTAAGTTTTAACCATATGTCCGGGAGCAAAAAAATGCAGGTAAAAATATGTACATTTCTGCCGGGGGCACAAAAAGAAAAAATCAAATTAAGAAATATATTTCTATAATTTTTTTAACATTTTAAATTTAAATATAGAACTGCGAAATTAAAATTTTAAATTCAAATTTTATTTATTAGACAAAGACAAAAATATGTATTATGTGAAAAAAAAAACAATAATGGGGTTATAAATAATCCACTTTATTCATAAAAACTAAAGCTTTATACTATTTTTTTTTTTATTTTAGTTACTGAAGTGTTTTTTTTTCTAAATTAAGAATTTAGCGCAAGAGAATAAAATATGTGAAAAAAAAAAAATTATGGAGTTATAAATAATCTGTTTTGTTATATAAAAACTAAAGCTTTATACTATTTTTTTTTTAATTTAGTTACTGAAGTGTTTTGGTTTTTTTTTGGGAAAATGTGAGAAAAAATAAAATAAAGGGGTCATAAAGAATCCGCTTTATTATATAAAAACTAAAGTTTTATACTATTTTTTTTTTTAATTTTAGTTATTGACGTTTTTTCTTTTTTCCAAATTGGGAATTTAGTGCAAAAGAATAATCAAAGACTGTGTTCCACAGTATAACGAGTTATTTTGTCTTAAAAACTACAACTGCTGAAGCGTTTTTGATGACATTTCCATGGAACCTATCTGTAAGTATATGCTTTCAGATAAAAAAGAATTTTCCAAATCGGTTTATAACTGACGGAGTTATGAGGTGACAAACATAAAAAATTACAACCGAATTGAGAACCTACTGCTTTTTAAAGTCGGTTAAAAAGGCAATTAAATATTTTTAGGTGTTATTAAATTATACAAAGTTTTAATAATTACGTATAATTTATGATATTTCGAAATCTTTCTAATAAAATAGATATAATCTTTTTTTTATACAACTTAGAATGGCAAACAAGCTGACGTCCCACCTGATGGTAAGTGGTAACCGTCGCCTATAGACATGAGCAGTACCATGGACATAGAGTATACTGTTTCACCCATGATACCCCCCATGCGTTGTCATTCCTGAGGACTCAGGTGTTATTCCTCTGTACCCAGTAAATTGACTGCCACATCTCACTCTTCAAACCGAAACACAGCCATGCAAACATAACTGCTTCACGGTAGAAACCCGAATGGGACAGAGGGGCCCAAACAGATGACTTTCGTACAAAGTGTCCCTCTGGTATGGGCAAATAATATAGATAAAAAATATATTATGTCATTAAACGCAATTTTACCAAGTTTGATTTTATCCTGTTATCGTAAGACAAGTTCATTTTTATGGCCGTTAGCCGGCTATAATTTATGCATTGAAAATGTAATTTGAATTATGATCGAAAACGTTCGAATTTTGAACAAAGAGATAAAAAAAAACCAATAATAAAAGTCGATTATCTTCGAAATTTTGAGAAGGACACGTTTTCGGACGGAGCGGCGTCTGTTCAATAATGAGCTCAAACGCGTCCAACATAATTAGACACATCCCTCCGCCCGTGTGCTTCGGGGAAACGAACTCGTAAGGAGGCCCGTAATACGTTCCGGGGGTTCAATGTAAACTGGCCGCCGAGCGGGAGTGACAGCCGCGTTCGAATTTCAAAAAAAGAATCATTCTTTTTCGAACTTGACTTTTCCACAAGTCATCGTTGCGGCCAGTGTTCTCTGTGATTAATACTTTGGCTCTTTTTTCCACGCAGGATTGTCTATGGTTATATATTTTTTTTTCTCTCGAGAATTGGTGATATTATGAATTTCTGTAAGCGCTGCCTTTGATGATAGTGGCGTCCCTATTGTGCGTCCATATTTCTTTTATGATAACATCTGTCGCTTTGTTAAAATAATTTCACTATTGCTATTTGTGTAAGTCGATGCTATTCATGTAATACAACTCAATTTACTACTTTAATAACCAAATAATTATCGAATTGATCAATTCGTAGATTAGTAGGATAAGTGCATTTTGAAAACCATATCTATGGCAAAATACTCATATTTGCCTTCTATTCTTGACAGTCTATATAAACATCCCGCTGCTGGTCATAGATCTGTCTTCGTAAAAGGGAGATTCTAGCCATTATTACGGTACCAATTCGGGACAGATTTCATAATATTTCAATCTTTGTACAAAAGTCGATTGCTTGTGTACCTCTGTCCCATTCGTGTTTCTACCGTGAAGCAGTTGTGTTTGCATGACTGTGTTTCGGTTTGAAGGGTGGGATATGGCAGTGAATTTACAGGGTACAGAGGAATAACACCTGAGTCCTCAGGAATGGCAACGCATGGGGGGTGTCATGGGCGAAACAGTATA